CTGTAATGGATTGAATCAACCGAGGGGGTCATTAGCCAATAAATTGCTCATAAAAATTATGTTTAAAAAATATTTTCAAAAGTACAAAATACAATATTCAACTATGAGAATATTAAATATTCGCTATATATTTACATTTATTTTATATAATGATTGAATGATCTTTTGTAACTTTTTTTTAATTGGTTAATTATAAATTATTTAAGGAACATGCAATAAAAAGTCGTCAAAACAGTTGACGCAGGGCTAATAATATCACAAACATTTTTATCCAACTCGCAATTATCGAAAGTCCTTTTAGCAAGATAGACCAATCGGCACATCATGTATACAAGCCACCGACGCTTTATCCATCATAATATTACAATAAGTACCTATCATAGGTCCCAAACGAACAATTGTCCTTTTTAAATTTTGAAGTGGGTACTCCTTTACCCAGTATCACTATATTTGTAGATCAATATTCCTATTTACTATATTAATGTGTATTTAATAATACAAGATATGTGGGTCGGTTTGGGCACATCAAAATATGTTGAAAACAATGTTGGCACTAATACTTAATTTTTTTTTTTGGGGGGGGGGTCTTACATATTATGTATTTTCCATAAGTTAATATATCACTTACCACGTCACTGGTCGACTTGACCCACTTTCTCACTAAATTTAAACTTTAATGAGTTTAAGTTGAAAAAATGGAATGGTCAAGATACAAAATGAGAAATATTAATTCTAAACACCTGATATTAATGATATAGTAGGTACCTAATCGTCCTAATGTTTATCTTAATATATTTACGGAAAATTATCTCCAAACAATTATTATCAGTAAACAATGGAATAGGATACACTTGCCCTCCATATTTTTTTAAAAAATTATTTATTTTTTCTAATGTCTAATTTCTCTTAATGATGCATTATAAGATAAAACAGAACATATTTCTAAATAATTATACTACAATTATATTATGTTTATTTTACGTCAAATGATCATTGAAAATTGGTCTCTGATAGGAATAAACATTACTATTACAATGGTAAAAAAGGATCATATTATATTTATATACATATGTCACTTTTTTGTCTAAACTGACATTAATCTAAATTTGTTTTTCTATGACTCATAAGTAGATTTCTTTTAAATTATATTCTATTTAACTATACTCTTTATAGTATATTATATTAAATTACATCCTAAAGGTTATTAGTGTTATTACTTACCACTGCTCAGTTGCAATTAAAACGGCTCGTAAAATTAGGGAATGTACTCTAAAAAATTATATAATGGATTCATAATATTAATTAGGGGTCGGTACTTTCAAAAAAACTAAGATTTCCAATGTTAAAAACCTGATACTATCACAATTTAACGACGGGAATTAATAAAATCCTTAATTACCAATGAATATTTTCCTAAATTAATTATTGTTTGTCTCAACTAATTTACAATTATAACTTGGAGGCATAATTATATTAAATATCTATTGCTTTTTGAAATTATATCATTTGTGTATCACAGGCCTTATTTTTTAGTGAACCCCTACACAAAGTGTGTAATCCGAAATTGAAAGTGTGCATTACGGATTTAAGAAATGTGTACCTATACTAAATACTAATAAATAAGACTACTTGCTAGATTATAGTAATAGGTAGTACAGAATACATTATACACATTTTTAAAAAATAAAATTTTTTTAGCCTCCACGGTTCTGTATTATTTTATGGTACATTAAAAGATATGTAGCACAAATTTTTGTGAAAAATAGGGTTTGGTGTATCAATTTTGACTAATAACAGTAAACATTAAACAGTGTCAATCTGAATGTATAGGTCCACCTAAAGGTAGTCTCTAAGTTATTGTAGCAATAAGACCATCTGAACGGAACTAAAATCACTGAATATTATTACAATATCAAAAAGCGGGTAAGTTGTGGATATATCTCTGCTTAACAGTAGGTTACAAGTGGGTTACTTTAATGGATGGAATTAAATTTGAATCCAATGATATTATATCATTGTATACAGAAAACGATTCTGATTGGAGACGGTTTATCTGTCTAGGATATATTACAGATTATTAAATTTTTCAAATCTTATATATAAAAGGAAAATGTTTTATGAATTTCAAGCATAAAATAATTTGCGAATTTTTGTGATTTTTACGTATGATGTCAAAATTCAAACTTTGAATGCTTATTAAAAAAAAATTGTAACCATATATTTATTTTATTTTTCAACTGCTATTGTCCAAATTTGTTAGGAGCCTTGTATAAAATTTTTAAATCTTAGATTTTGAAAGAACATTTTTTATGAATTTCTAGCTTAAAATAATTTGCAAATTTTCGTGATTTTTACTTATTTTGTCAAAACTTAAACTTTGAATGCTTATAAAAAAAAAATATGACTATGAATTTATTTTATTATGTGTATGCTAGGAGCCTTGTATTAAATTTCAAGATTTTCTACCCAACAAATACATTTTTATGGATATTTATTTAAAAAAAACTAATAATGATCTAAAATTGCATATATTATGCCTATAAGTAGTTCAATTTAAATCGAAATTTTGTGAGAATTGCATGATAGATAGGATATACTTATATAAACATTCAGTGAAAATTTCATGTATCTATGGTCATTTGTTTTAAAGTTACATCAAAAACTAAAATTTTCCCATTTTTTCCTTAATTATTAGTTTGGTTATCTCGATTATTTAGAAAAATATATTACTTTTGATCCCCAAAGTACCAACTAGATTTACTTTCTGATTGAACGAGGTACTGAAGTCGAAAGTCGAAACACCTTTACTGCCCCAAAACGTGATGGACACACAAAAAAAAAACACACACATCATGGTAAAATCAATACATTCCTCGCTCCGCTCAGAATTGAAAAGTAAAATCTTAAAAAACAAATCTAATATTATTTTTAAATGTTGAAATAAAAAATTCCAAGTGTTTTCAATTAGTTTAGTTTAATTTTAAATTTTATAAGTGCTGATTCAAGAAGAAACTAAGATAACAAATATAAGTAATATGTCTTAAGGGGATGACTATACATCAGATATCATATTATAGTTAAGAAATCATTTTACAGCTAAAAATTTTTATTGTAAACAAATCTAATGATTATTTAAAAATAAGTTACATAACAATGGATATAAAAACATAATATTTTTTAACTGCTAATAACAAATTTTTTTTATTAACAATAAATTAATACCAAATGATTTTATTTATTGCGTTTTAATACTATTAGGTATACAAAAGTAGTAATTTGTAGTAATTGTTTTTTTATCATGATGCAGTGTATTATTTAAGTTTTATAGATTAATCTTTGACAAATTAGAACTAATGATTAAGTCATGTAGATATATCACTATAAATAAATATCTTATAATATCTATTACCATCTTACAACATGTATTGATATACTAGTATAAATTTGAGAGCCCACATACTATATTCGAATCTATGTATAATAAAAGTTATGATTTAGTAAATATAACTACATTTTAAATTTTCAAGATAAAAGCTTTAAGGTTAGTAGTTAACATAATATTGTTGACTAGATGTGATGAATACTGTTAAAATGATTTAATAGAAATACTGAATTAGAAATATTAGAAATCGATAAAATGTTTTTAACTACTTTTAAATTTATGATTAATAACCTTAGTGTTTTTTTAGGTGATCTCCTGTAAGATCATGAATAGATTTGGATTTTATAGGTTCAGTTTCTTCTGGCCAGCTGTATTTTGGTGGGAGTGGGTTGTCATAGTTAAAATCATACATCTGTGATTCAATAAACTTCTTTTTATCCTTTGGCTCTGGATAATGGGACGCGATTCCTAAATAATAATATTTAATTATTATAATAGTCTAAATTAAAATAACTTTTGCTACCTTTTTCATAAGCATATTCTGCTATTTTGATTGCAATTTGTAAAGAACAATCTTTAATCAAATTTAATGGAGGATAAATGCTGCCTTTTTCCAAATCTTCTTCAGTAACAAAATTAGCCAATTCCTAAATAAAAATAAATTATATAATTTTGTACAATACATTCAAAATTTAGATGGTAATTTATATACTTGGGAAGCAATTAAAAATAAATCTTCAGTAATATGATGTATTCCGGTACTGATAACACCAAGAGCTACTCCAGGGAATATATAAGCATTGTTTCCTTGTCCAGGTGTAATTGTACGTCCATTTATAGTAACAGGCGAGAATGGTGAACCACTTGCAAAAATACAACGGCCCTAAAATTGTATGATTTGCATATAACTTACATAAAACATTATTTTATTTCTTGTATTTTACTTGAGTGTGAGTGTATGCTTGTTCAGCAGTACACTCAGCTTTTGCTGTTGGATTACTAAGAGCAAAAATAATGGGTTTTTCACAATAAGAAGCAACATGCTCCAAAACATCTTTATTGAAAGCTCCTGCTGCTGCAGCAGCACCAATCAACACATTTGGTTGTATTTCTTTGACGACCTCAAAGAGACTTTTCATAACTTTGTGATCTTTAGCATAAAATGCTTTATCTCCTTGTAAATTTCCTTCAGGTCGATTTTTTACCAAAAGACCATCAATATCCATCATCCATATTTTACTACGAGCTTCTTCTAATGAACACCCCTCAGTTAACATAGCACGTACAGTTAAGTTTGCAATACCAATAGCTGCCTGAATATTACATAGATAAATATATGTTAAAGAATATTAATTTTAGTATCAACACAGAAATAAAATTTACTTCTCCTGCTCCCAAAAATAAAAATGTTGATTCTGAAATACGCCTTTTAGTCAAACGACGTGAAGTTAGAAGACCTCCAACTGCTACAGATGCTGTACCTTGAATATCATCATTGAATGTGCAATATTTGTTACGAAACATATCCAAGAATCGGAATGCATTATGGTTTCCAAAATCTTCAAACTGTATCAATACATTTTGCCCATATCGTTTAACTAAAGCTTCCATGAATTCGTTAATAAATTCATCGTACAAAGGTCCCGAAATACGCTTTTGTCTAAGGCCAATATACAAAGGATCTTCTAAAAGTTGCTGAAAAATTGAATTTAACATGAACATAAGAATTATTCAACTAGGCAATTATATAATAATATGATATTGATGTAATTCTAACTTCATTATTGGTTCCCACGTCCAGTGTTATTGGTAAACATTGATGAGGTTTGATTCCTGCTAAAGCAGTATATAATGATAATTTACCAACTGGTATACCCATACCACATGCTCCAAGATCCCCTAGGCCAAGGATACGTTCCCCGTCAGTAACTACTATTGCACGAACATTTGGTTCTGGCCTATACCCAAAAAAAAAAACGTCCGTGCAAGTGTTAATTATAAAAGATAATTAAATAGAACTAATATTAATGTAAAATACATTTAAAAAAATTTAATAATTATAAAAAATGAATGCGATTAGAATATTATGATTTTTTTTCTAACTTTCTTTTGGAAAAATAAATAAGTTTAAATAATTATACTTCTTAATAATAAGCCCCAATTTTTCATAAGCAGTTTCAAATTTATACTTAAGCTACTTTTTTTTCAGACAGATTTCCGAGTCGACTGTATACAGTGGGGCAATAGGTATGCCTAACACGTCATGTCGAATAGCATACTCTTGGAAGAATAACTATATTAATTAAACAACCATAAATTTTGCATTTTTTAAAAATAACACTATTAATTATTAAGTTGCTTTTTGATAGCGGAGAATCTTCGGAAACAAAATTTGACAATGAAAAAGATTTGAACAATGAGTGTGATCTGCATAGACCAAACAAAAATCAATCGTTGTCTGATGTTACTCTTAATTGAAATAGATTCAATTCAGTGGCGTATAACATAGAATCTAATAAGTTTTGCTTAGACAACACCTTAAATATGGATAGTGAGTATTAATAGAAAAAAAACAAGATATTTGATTGATTGGTATAACAGAATTATGAGGAGTAGGTTACCTAAAATTATTTGAGCTATATCATTATCTTTTTTTTTATATATACACCATTGAGTATAGCAATTTAAATGTAGATAAATAAAAATTTTAACTATACCTAATTATTCTAGTACTTTAAAAATGTCTCTAAAAGTCTCAAGATAAATAGGCTGGAAATTTTATAATCTAGTTATTTTCATGTAACTTTATATATATTACAAAATGTATTGTATGATTATTATTGAACCCTAAATTCTCATGCAATCAAAATTATGTCATAAATCCTTATTCATACAGGAACAAGTTATAAATGTGAACAATGAAATAATTAATTTTAACACTTTATTTACTTTATTATTAGATACTTTTATTTTAAAAATGTTGGTGCCATTTCCACGAGCAGGTATTGTAGTAAAATCTACCTGTTACTGTTATAGGAAAAAACTTAGAAATTAATTAATGAAATTATAGATTAAATGTTATATGTTTTATAGACTTATTAAACACAAAAATATAATAATTATTATTAATAACAATTTAAAGTACAAACACTAAATAAATGATTGTTCTATAATTCCTAAAATACCAACAATTCAATTTTGTATAATTCAGACATTTTTTGCATAAAAACTTGGTCTTTAACCAATGACAACGCCCATAATAAATACACAAAATATTAATTATTTTTTTAATTTCTTTTATAATATGAGTATAGAATAGAACTATTAACATGAATTGGCTAATAAAAATAATCCATCCAACCACCAATTAAAAAGCAACTTAAATATGGGAGATTAAATTGAAGTACACAATAATAAATAAAATGTACATAATTAATATATCTTATCAATATATACATTAATTTTAGATTATGAGCAAAGCAAAATAATGTATTTATTTTATAATTATGTGTTTTTTCTGTCAATCACCACTTTTTGAGGCATCAAAAATACTTCAGTAGGAAAGTGAATATCTAGTTGGTTAGTCATTAAAGGAGACAAAATTTAAAAATTTCCAATAATTTGCAATTATGTTGGAAAAAATAAAAAATAAGGAAAAAAGAGAATTTCGATAAAATAACATGAACATTTAAAATTGTATACAAAGTTTTTTATAGGTTGTTAAAGAGCAGTTATAAAATATTAAAGATCCATAGGCAAAATTGTTGTTTTTAAGTTGTAATTGTTTGAACAAATTATTTTGTAGTGGAAAATTTATAAAATGTTTTTTTAGTTAAATAATTATTATTTTTAGAGATGTTTATTTGAAGTATGTAGTATTAAATTGTACAAACTTATCTTTTTAATCTATTATAGGTACATAAGCAATTAAGACTCATTAGTAAATATAAAAATGAATTTCTATGTCTAACAAAAAATATTAAGTAGCTTATATAGTTGATGTAAAAATTAACAAATGGATGAGTTTTTCAATTAATTCATAAAGCCCATGAATGCACAGCTCCCTATGTTTCACATGTAAAAGTTGCTTGATTTACATAATTATTCTAATTTACAATAGTATTTCATATTTAATAMAATATTATCTTGTCTAACTATATGAATGTAAAATGAAAATTTTTTTACAGGGTATACTCTGGAACTACTAATCAGATCTTCTTGATTTTGATTTTTTAAACGAAAAAGTGCATGTTTTTGGCATAAATTTAGTCCAATTAAGTTATTTGAAAATATAGTTTTTGTATAAGATACTATTTTTTTTCTTTTAAATAATTAAAACTTTTTTTATGTCTATATAGTATCTATTTATATATATTATATTAATAAGCAATTTATTATAGATTTTATAAAATTTAAGCAAGTTCTAAAAAAACTTGCCAAGGTAAGTTATACCTATCATCATATTTACTAAAAATATTATTTTAAATTCTTTCTATTTGCCATATAGTGTTAGAAAAACTTGGTAGACAGCCAACAAATGTACCACAATAGCTTAAGACACTAAATAGATTTTTTCCACTGACCTATTTTATCAATAAAATTTTAAGCACAATTAATAAAGCGATGATGATGTTGTTAATGTTACCCAAATAGAAAAATAAACTGTGGTGGATAATAGATACTTTATGAAATTTAAGATATTTTTTTATATATAAAAAAAAAATAAACAGCTAAGTCCATTACTTGGATTTTAAGAGTTATTAATTTTAAATTTTTAGCTTATTACAAAAATTATTGATTTAGACACAACTAATAAAACAGTTTTTCTACTAATAAAATTAATAACTAAGTAATTACCAATTTTTTAGCAAGTCATAAATATGTCCTTTGTCATTAATGGTAATAAATAATCCTCTAGGACGGCGGAATATCAAACCAAACTTTTGGCATGCTAACCCAACAGTTGGAGTATAAACAATTGGCAGTAACATATGAATATTTTCAGATAAAAGCCTAAAATAAAGCCTTTCATTTCGATCCTGCAAATCAAATTTGTATTAAAATAAATACGTAAAAACAAAACAAATTGAATACTTGTAATTCAGCCAAGTATAGGAACTTATTCAAATCTTCTTGATACTTCATGACACTGAATCGACAAACTTCAAGTTGTTCTTCTTGTGTTTTAAACTTTGGTGGCATCAACCCATGTATACCAAGTGCTTGTCGTTCTTCGAGAGTGAAGGCAAGGCCTTTGTTTAATCGAGGGTCACGAATATAATCAATTCCCTGAACTAATGAAGGACATATAATATCTCCAGGCGTGCGTGAGGGTGATGAAAAATGAAATTTGCGGCATTTTGATCGATCAATACATGAAGAACTGACACAATATAAGGCTAAGTTTCTTGAAACCAATGATGTACTAGAGCTAAAAAATAAAGGCGAAAGTTAACCATATACACAAAATAATGTATAAAAAAAGAGAAACATTGTCAGGTTATTAAATTAGATTAATCAGAAAATATATATTTATAATTTTTGAAAATTATTTTACTGGACTTTGATATAATATCTTACCATATAGTTTTTGGTAAATAATTCATTTTGATTTATTTGAAGTACTTTTAGATCGTTTGCATTAGAAGGTACACAAAATAATATAGACGAAAGTATTTTAAAGAAAACAATGACTAAAACGAATAGCAGATAAAATAATACTATTAAATATTAATACTAAAGGATTTAACTGTTCATTATATTGTTAGAATTATAATATGTAAAATACAGATTCTATATATAGTTATAGAAAAAGCATAGAAAAGGTGTAAAAAATCAAATAAAAATCAATTTGTTATCATTATAATATCATATTCAACTTGGTAGCTGATAGCGTAGCTTAAAAAACAGGCTTGCCACCGTGATGACCATAGACATATTATACGCCAAAGCGCCTAGCTGCCTATGAATATAAACATAATAATGTAATATAATATTACATTATATTTTATATGTTTCTGACTCATAAAGAATAGAATTAGAGTATTCATCACTCCTCGCAAAGGTATAATGGTCTGGAAACGACCTTTTTGCCGAGGGTTGGGGAAAAGCCATCAAAACGTTCCTCACACTGGGCATTGAGCAATAATTGCCCATTGAAATTTTCATTTTTCAGCGCTACCGGTGGCTTTCTTTGGCGTGGCTACTGGCGGCACATTTCGTATCAGCTCCATAATTTTTAGAATTAGCCGAGATATCGACTTAATTCGTGGTTTCCAGCACGGATATAGAATATACTGAATAGTGAATATAGATACTTTGGTTGCACAACGAGCACGAATATAATAATTATTGAGTTAATTAACGAATTAGAACTACTGAAAACTAAGATTATAATTATTATAACATTATTATACTTAATCATAGACATATGTTTTATATGTCTATGGTGCAACCCACGATTTGAGTATATCTTAAATCGTGATCCGTGGTTTCCAATAACAGTGTAGTTTAAGAGGACGTCACATCCGCATGTGTTGTCTCCGTCGTATAAGTATTAAGTGCGTAGGCGTGTAGCATAGCAAATTTTACGCTCAGCAGATCACGTTTATCTCCGTTAATTTAAAATTTAGAGTGAATTGACCTATTATAAAAATTAAAGGCAAGATTTTTACCGAGGGCATCTCATAGGCTTTTTATTATATTTTAATTTTAAACCGAGTTATTGAGTATTTTTAGATATAAAAATAATTTACAATTTTAAAATAGTCATAATTCAGTTTAAAATAAATGCGGGTGTGGCGTCCTCTTAATTGGTCGCCGTGCGGTTTTATCACTGAGTTTAATAAACATATCTATATCAGATAATATTATACATATCTGTGATACTAAATAGTAAATAGTAGTAAACTAGTAAGTTCTTAATTCTTATTCATCGACGAGTATTTTATATCTTTTGCTAGTGCTGCCCATCATGACGAAAATGGATTTGTAATTTATAAACAGTGTAATATATATTATTTTTCTATGAGTGTAATATAAATCTTTTTTGTCATGGTATGCCGTTTACATTATCATAGGATATAGTTTTTCGTTCCTGGTAGTGGCCAGAGGGTGGTGTAACTGGACTGGAGTTCAGTGTGTTTACTGTCGTATGTCAAGTTTCGACAAACTGAATAGTCCTTTGTACGAACGTTTAACACCGAAATCTTCTATTTAATTAATATTTTAATTATAATATCCTGAATTCTAGAGCGTTCACTATTCATTTCCGGAATTCGCAGTCATGATCTGCGTTCGCCAATCGAACAAGTTATACAGCACAGTCGTAGGTAGCAACAGCCTAAAGCAAACTCCTAGGCGATTTTCGTTCCCGGAACGTTTTCGTGGTACGATTGTCGAACGATGGAAGCTGTATTGGGAAAGCGTAGCGAAGGATTATTTTGAGTCAACAGTGGGTATTGGAACGTATGCGAGAGCAAATCCTTTAAAAAGCTCGTTGGCAGTAGTAACTGCTAGTTGTGTGTATTACTGTGCATCAAACAACCCAAGTGAACGTAATTACAGATCTGAAATCCTAGATTGTGCAAATACTTTGTTGTACATATCACCAGTTGTGCGCAACCCATCTACTGTTGAACATTTAGAATATATAGAAAAATGTTATAATGCAGGAGTCGTGAAAAGACTGAATTTGCTTTTGTTTTCAGCTATCTGGATTGACGAATTTAATGACGACATACAGGCGTACAAAGCAAACTGTAAATACTTAAAGCCTTCAATATTTTCAGTATATCAACGTGTAATTGATATAGGCTTTTTAAATGTTTGGTGGAACCTAAAAAAAATAATGGTTGATTATGATGTGAACCCTGAAGAATGGAAAGATTACAAAGAACCAGAGTAATCCTACCTAATATGCTTGTTACACAATTTGTTTATTTAGTTATTTTGTTGGTGATACAATAAATTAATATTTTTTTAGATTCATATAAAATGTATTTATTATTTCCTTCATATTTTATAAGCTAGTATCATTGATAGTATCAATAATATTTATAATCAATGCTAGTATAAGCTATATCATTAAATATACATATCATTTTACAAACTGCTCAGCATCTATACTGAAGTAGATCTGCAAATTATTATTATTTATATTTGTTAGGTTACGCTTAAATTACTTTTATTATGGGGTAATTTTTATTATGCTTTTTAGGGATTTGATAAAGGAAAAGTCTGGAAAACACCGCTATAAAGGATAAGAAATATAACGTTATTAACTATCGGGTATATTTACAATTAATATTAAAAATATATTGCTAAAAAATCTTCAGTTATTATTAAAAACCTTAAACTTAGTTAACAAATACATAAAAATATAAATACACACAATAAAAATATCAGTAACAATAGATCAAATAAAAATTCACAATATAACTACTTAACAATAAATTATTATGAAATGAAATTCTTGAAATCAACAAACATATTTTATATAATTATAAATGTAATTATAGTAGATCATAATTTAAAATCAACTACCAAATTATTACAGGATTATATTATTTGTTATAAGTTAAAAGTTCAAATCAAGAAATATGTTATTCTTGCATTAAAATACTCCATTGTTCTTTAAATTATCAGTTGTACTTAAATATACAATTTCTTCAATGCAATATAACTAATGGTATGATATCAACAGTTTAAAACTTAATTTAATAGAAAAATAATATCTTTGGTTTGGCAATAAATGAATAAAAATTATGTGGTTCAATGGTAACATCAAAAATATTTTAAACACCTTAATTATACATTCAAAGTTTATACATGTTTCTTAAAATGTTAGAAAATAATATTTCCATAAATTATAATCTATTATGTATTTCCACTTCAACAACAGAACTTGTGCTTGGCACTATATCGTCACTAATATCAGTACTGATACTATCCTCCGTAGTATCTTTTTCTACAAGAATGAAATAAAATTATGTAGCAATGTAGAATGTACTTACTTAATTATAATAGATGAATGGTGATATTTAGAACACTAACTGTTTATGTTGATCCTAGTACAGTTTTTACATCTGTTCGGAGCCTCTTGGGTTTTCAATAAATTCCTTGCAGACAAATGCATCATGGTTAGGCCAAATAACCAGTATCCCAAACCATATCCTCCAACAATAGCAAAAAATATGTACCCATTGAATGTCATTATTGCGCACATTAAAATATACCCAACAAACATTTGAAACAGGTAAACTCCCAATGTCCTAATGCAACTAGATAACAAATCAAAGTCATAATTTATTTTGAAGTCTTTTACTGCATAATTTCCAAGGAAAAAGATATTAAAAATGATTCTGAAAATGGATTATGTAAACTTAAGTAAATTTACAGGAGTGATATGTTTAACATTAAATTAATATAATTTAATATTGTTTACAAATTCTACATGTGTATAAAAAATATTTGTTGGTACAATAACAGTGTTAATATTTTCAAAACGATATTTTTTTTTTCACAATAATATATATAATCTGTACAATTGGTGCACAATAAGCATATATGCTAAGAGCTAAAACATAACATGAGTAGGTGTGTTAAGAAGCCACCCACTAGTGGCACTTGACTGGGAGTTGATTAATTATCTAACTAAATAAATATATTTTCTTTAGTCATTAGTTCCCTAAGAAGTAACGGCACCAGTTCCTTTTTAAGCGACACCTGGGGTTGTCAGGTAATGTTTGGGTGGACAGGTTTTGAGTGGGTTTTGATGTGTTTGGAGACGAGAATGAAAGTTTTTGTAGAAGCATGAACTGTGTAGCTTCTTCTGTTACAGTTTTAATTGACAGATCTTTATGCAAGGTGTGATTAGAAACAAAGGGTGGGGCATTCGTTATTTTCCTTCGAAACAATATGTACCTACCTAGAAAATTTAATAATTTTTGATATTATTACATGTTTTTAGTTGAACTTACTCAAAAACTTTCATTTTAAATGTTATCATGAATGCATCTTTATTAATATATTCCTTGCAATCCGGCTGACTGCAACACAATAATCGTCGGTGAACCCTCGTCATGAAATGTACAGTTTTCAGTGACTCGAAAACCACCGCTAATGCTATCAAACCAACGCATAACGTCACCAAACCTATAATTTTATTATGGAGGAAATTAAAACAAACGATATTACAAAATCTAAAATTTATAACACTGAAAACTGATGGATAATGATATACTTACCGATGGTGGATTGCACATTGAAGTTTTTCACTAGGAACGGATCGATGTCCGTTCCGAACGTAAAGTACATGGTTATGGTTGAGACGTTAATATTACGCGGAAGACGACGTACACATCGCCATCGCGATTTACTGCAACTGGTTAATGTCCACTTATCAGTTATCGACGGTCATCGCAACACTTATTACTACCTATGGACTTGGCGATACACGCACAAAATACCATCGGTAAACGGTGTAACACGATTGCACGAATAAAATGTAATTGCATAATATTATACTATTGCCAAACCTCCCGAAATATTGTAAAGGTAAATTATAATATTAAAATAATATACCAGGAATAAAATAAAATAGTAAAAAGTACAATACAAATACAAATATTACAATGTCGTCAACATCGCATTAAATTAAACGTGTGCGTTTTACAGTTTTTATATTTATTTCACTGGTCAGTTATCAACAATTGATAACCACCGAACGGCATTGATAATAAATAATGGAACATTCGGACTTATCTATTCTGTGACTCGGACGTCCGTTTGTAATTTGTATTATTCACTATACGGCACGATGTAGAAAACAGAAAAGACATYTTCTCGACATCGTGATAAACAGAATAGTTAATCGTAAATTGTAAATAAATACAAATAGTAATAAAACATTTATTATTCGGCTGTTCTGCTGAATATTGATCCGCTTTTCGTAGACACCGTGGCCATGGCAGACACTTTAGTCACACTTCTCACTTGTGATAAATTAAATTAAACACACTCATACCGTCTACCACCTAATGCAGCTTTTACCTACCTAATCACTCTTAATAGTTAATAGGCACTATAAAAATACAAAATCCAAGTCTACGAGTTCTAAATCGTTGGTCTTAGAGACATTTAATTCATACGCACACGGCACGCTAGGTATTTAGTCTCTTAAATAGACATAATATAGATGGACTGCGCGTTTAGCCCTATTGCTTTCATATTTTTACACGGCCAAAGGGGCGGTCCACTTATAACCCCTACTCCGTAAAACCACCACTATAAAATTACAAACACTAAAATTAAGTAGAACTAACAACAAATTTTATTTTCTAGATATTTCTTAGCTACTAAGCTTAAAAGTTGATTAAAATTACTTTTATTAATCTAACGCATTATCAATATRTTCATCTAAACATTAAAGATAATTTTAAGTTGAAAAATTTAAATACTTTGCTAATTTAATTGTTTKTGAATATCTAATAGTATCCTAATTCCTAAATCATGTTTATCACACAATATTTCCGTTTTATTTTTTCTCCATACAACATRCCAAATAATTGATTACAGAAAAGATTGTATATAATATAATAATATGAATAAACGTTACATGACCCTGCATATCAAATAATCTTTAAATATACAAATAATTGAAGTTTTAGAACAATTTTATTTTATTTWATTGTTTTAACCGGAGTAGATGCGCTACAAAAAAAAATGTGCACATGTTAAACGTAAATGTTTAAATGTTTAATAATCACAATAATATGAATATTAATAGGAACAATAAACTAAATCCTACTTCGATCAATATTTTGTCAAATATAAAATATTATAGTAAAGAATTTCATTTCATTTACTTTGTCAATAATCAAAAACATTATTTTAGACAGTAAAAACATTTTTAATAATCACAGAAAAATAATATATTTGTGTTAAGTTTTACTTTTTTTGAAACTGTTTTGATTTGTTAGATTTATGTCTACTAATATTCTTCTTTCTCACACCCATTGCGCCTTCTTCATCATCGTCAAGATCTCTCTTACCTTTCCCATATCTTTCATATTCTGAAATTTTAAATATAGTTTTTATTAAAATAAGTATAAAATTTCTGAGTTAACAATATTAACCATTTTCGCCAGTCTTTGAGCTTCGGCCACACGCTCTTGTAAACACATTACTTCATCGTCCTCGACTTGATATRGTGGCAATTTTTTGCCAATTAGTTGTTCTATCCTTTGATACAATTCAATATCATACTGGAAATAATAAAATAATTTTTTCATTAAACATACAAAATAAATTTTGATATAAAAAACAAAACTTAATTTATTCAATTTTGGAAAGCGTTCCAGAATGAAGCAGTAGTTATTTGATTGAGAATGACACTACGCACAGTCATTACTTAAAGTAAAAGTACAGTAAAATTATGATTTCCTGCAGCTACTTCTTCAAAAAGTTGTAATATGCGTATAGTAGTATAGTACCTAGGATAAAAAGAGGGTTCCCACAGGGGAAGAGCTGTTGGACTTGGATTATATGGACTCTTTGAAATGAATTAGTCATTTTTGAAATGTTGATAGGAATACTTATTTCATAAGGCCAGAAAAAACATTTAAAACAGGAGCCCAAAATTTGAYGAGGAAGCCAGCAMAGAAAAAMAGATCAACATTTTTTCCCTACTATYCCAAATTGTGATTATCACTGTCTAAATGAATATAAATTAATAAAAATAATACTTAAAATAATATTAATAGAAATATTATAACATTATTATCAGGTGTTAGGTATATAATTTGGATAAAATATTGTAGTGATCCCTCACTAACGCCTATATTTGAGTATGACGACGTTGGATGACGATCAGGTTTTTCAAAGGAGAAGGTTACAGAGTTTATAAATGGCACAACGTTAAAACTTAAAAGTTATTAAATGTTTATTAAGTTATAATGAAATTATATACATTTGAGGACTGCAATAACGTAAAGTATCTGCCCGAGAAGTTAGTAATCTATTCACTATAAATTCACTAAAAATAAATGGGAAGAACTTAGTCTGGCGGCTATGTAGAGTGCGCGAACTCTACGGTCTACGACCAGGTAAGTTCTACACGTGTGGGAGATTAAACATTTAAACAAATTCTAATTCTGCTATGGACAAAGTTCTGTATTTACGCAGAATCTATATGGCTAAAATTGTACACGGAAGAGACTAGGAGGTAGATCATTGGATCAAAAGGTACCGACGCTGTTATTGTTGTTATGCCAAATGTATAGTTGAACGTCGTTCCTGTTCGTAGTTTTCTTATAAATTCTAGGAATTGTTACGAGTCCGAATTGATAATAAATAATGTTGTTTTCGCAAAATTTAAAGGGTTAATTGTAGTATTAAATATTTATTGCTAACTTGGTCCTTGGTTATGCGTTCACTGGGTTTAGATGTGTGATTTATATCATAGACGTGCGCAGACTTTATTCGCAGGAAATACCAATATAATTCAAAATAACTCAATTTTTAATTCTCTTAAAAAAAAACATAAATCCGAATTTTTTTTCTAAAAAAATGTAATACATAACTACAAAACTCTCTGTTAAGTTTGTGATAAAAATTATGATAATATTGATAGTTTTCACTATTAATAAAAGTAAAAACATAAAACAAGCTATATCTGAGTAGACTGCAGGGGATGCCATGGCTACCCGGCATCCCACCTGTGCACGCCTATGATTTATACATCACTATACATTGTAGTCGTATAATTATAATATATTATAATGATAGTATGCTATATTATATAATAATATAGTATATTATATAATATTATATTATGTATTATATATATATATATATTACGTAATATACAGAAAAAATAATAAATTGACTCTGTCGGTTTACTATATTCCTCCCCTCGAAGCTGGAAGTCCTGACTTCCCATATTTAAGCTAAATAATATGTTCGTAATTGTGGGTTATTTTTCATGCTGTTTCTCGGCGTGAGTGGAAACTCGATTATATATCAACGTCTCTGTGKTTTTCAATGAGTTATTCTGCTTCCTCTTGTACGTCTTCTGTGTTTGTTGTTTTGTAGCCACGTATTATCTTTGTATTACAAATATGTATTATTATGATCATTATTATTATCATAATTCATAATAATACTTATGGTCGCATATGACGTATAATTATATATATATTGAATATCTTCAAGTTCGTTGAGTTTTGTACTGAATTTGTTTTGATTGTTTATTTGTTTTTTCGAGTTGGATACCCTATGTAAATTTTCCAGGTTGTTTGTTTTGACGTGGTAGTCTTCCATTACATTATTATTTACGTCATATTGCATGTATGTATCTTCGTTTATTTTTGATCTCGGATTGAAGTATAGATATTCTGATTTGTAATCAGTTTTTACAGGTATGAGTATGTCTCTAGTTGCATACCCTTTGCAAGTTATGTTTAATTGTAAAATTCTTACTCCTTTTAGTGTATCTGGTTAGCTGTAGCCCATAAGCGAAAAAAAAAAATTAACTTCTTATTATAACCCATAAACGCAAATTAGTTTTATAAAAAGAGTGTATTTTATGAAAATCATATAGTTAAAACATATAATTAAAATCATACAATCATTATATAGGTATACTATATGCTATTCGTGATTATAAAATGTGTATTTAAATATAAAAATTATAAATAATTATAAAAATTGTATTTAATTTAAAAGCAACAACTATAATAGATGTTTTGTTTAAGATCAATATAAATAATAAGTATATAAGTACCCTATTAATATTAAATTTGAAATTTGAAGCCCACAGTTTTTAAGTAATCCAATCTTGAAATATTTTTTATCGTAATTTGTTACGATACAATTCGATAATACTAAATACTAAATTAAACTGAAATAATACTACTATATAATAATATTAAAATGAAACCTATAGTGTAACGGGTACAATATTGTATCAGGTAATACAATTTATTTTTGCGCTTTTATACCACTACTAAGGTACAAAAGCGCAAATTCTGGTTTATCAAAAAAAAATTGAACTTTTGCGCTTTTGGGCTTCACCGGGCTGGTTGATTCCTTGTCTTCATCACAGGTAATGAATATTACGTCGTGGTTGGTTACGTAGATCCATTCGTTTTTGAATCGTTTTTTATGGAAAATGGAAGTCGCAATTTGTACGTGCATGATTTCGCAGTTTGGTGGAACCTTTGCTGGATCCTATAGTGAAAGTACTCCGCATATCGGTCTTGTGGTACGTGGATGTAAAGGACTGCCTTCAGGCTTCAGGACATAAAAGGAAATCTCTAGAATGTTTACARTGAGTATAAAAGAATTCGTCATATTATGCAGAATAATGTTCTTTAGATTTGCTTATTACTAAAAACTTATAACTAGGTTTTATATACACAATTATTGTTAATATACATACTGGTGCAGGTATTAATATTATATAGAATAAAATCATTTTGATAGATAAGAGGTAAAGAAAGTATAAATACTAGGTTGTCATTAAAATAATAAATAGCAAGGTCTGACTGGTCTGAGAGTTTAATCAGTTCGCAAATGTTAGTTATATTATCTAAATCTTTGGGTAGGTCTGTCCCCCCCTGGTATAATGATACCTTAATATCTTTGACGTAATCTAAAAGCTCTTGCGGTGACATTAAACTTGGGTGTATGATTCCCATTTTTGCTTGTTGTATTATTTCTAAAAGCACAGATTATATAATCTGTTCTAAAAGTGTGTTGGTTTCCTCCATGTGTTTTGTTATTAATAAATTAACTAAAGAAAAATGGTTGAGTAAATAATTTTTTAATTGTTGATCT